TTTTTTTTTTTTTTTGTTTAATTATTAAAAATTATTGTTTTGTGCCATCAAAAATATAACGACGCTGAGACACAGATAAAGTTTTAACCTAAGTGCTGTGGATGGAATTATGATAATTCTACTATAAATACTGAGGGAGAAAAGTTGTAACTACAAGTAAAATTTTTACAGTGTTCTACGTTTSTAAGACAAGGACAACGCATGCGGGTGTGACATCTTCTTAAGTTATTATTAAATTAAAAATATTTATTATATTATAATATAAATATTCCCTGGGTGTATTGTTGGCATACAATGGGGTAACACAGTAAAATCTATTATCACATAATAATGGGGTATAAATTTACACGAGTATTTATTACTTTTCGTAAATTCTTTTTATTCTATTTTCGGATACTACATATTTTTCATGACGTTATTGCAGATACGCATACAGTATAAAAATAATACGATATATAATATATAAATATATTTACAATTCTGCTTATACGAGTCAGAGTTTTATCACTTCTATAGTTCAATAGTTGTTATACATACGAGTATACGACTATGTGACGAGTGTTCCAGTATTAGTGACCAGTGTCGTTTTGTGATAATAGTGTGTTAATTTTTATAGAGAATTAAATAAATACCTTTTAATATAAATATAAAATGTATTTTATACACAAATAATTATTTTTTATGTGAACTAAACTATCAAAGTTAATATATTTTTTTGAAAATTTTTAATACCAAGTATTGTAGTTTATATTAGTAATTAGTAATTACCTACATATTTAACACACTATAGGTTTTTATTAATATAATTGTTTCATTAATTAATTATAATTATAATTTTTTTTAGGAATGTACTTTTTTTTCTGAGTACTGATAATTTTAATTAACCCAATCATAGGCAAATTTTGATGAAAAATTGAGGCCCTAAAATAAATCTCTTCTTAGGCCTTTCATATCCCGGGCCGACACTGTGACATACAATGTTTAAAATATAAAGATTTTGATATTTATTTAGGTTATATTGTTATCAAATATAAAGAGATACCTATAGAATACGCGAGCAATACGATTTGCTTTAAATATGACTTAATTTGTCATTACGATTATTGGACAAATAAAAGTTTTGCGCATGCAGAAATTCAATGGTATTATGCCAATGTAACAAATGTTTAGTTAAAACAAATGTGAGAAAAAATGTCTGACATTAATTGATAAGCTATTGAATATTGAATATCAGATAAGTAATGAATTAATTGATATACAAGTATCRTACAAATATCAAACCTAACATTAATCAATAAACTAGTATTATATAATGTTGCACCTATTTGAATATTCCAACATAATATCTAATAACATATTAAATGCATTAAACATAATATCGGTGCATCCATTTTGTCTTCATTGTAATAATCATTATGATCTGGTACAAATGACAAAATGCTGAATTCGGTTAAAAAAAACAACACACAACGAACGTCGTGCACAGTGAACATTCTACGAAAATACTTAATATATAGTCACAAGCTTAAATAATACTTACGGGATGTAAGCTGCGATCATTGAGTAATAAAACTGAGGCTACGACACAGGTATGGGGTCTTCACTATTCACCGGGATGACCGGTAAGTGATGAAATATGACAAAACCATGGCCATGGTATTTTCAAAATCGGTTGAGCAGCTATATTAAAGGTGTTTATCCGTCAGTGATCGGCAAGGCGTGATGAAGTGACTAGTATTATAGCAGTATGTAGAAAGTGCCTACTGGTAAATTAATGATTAGGAGCAGAACAATTAGGAACGCCGAAACGAAACCTGCCAATAGCCATCAGCCATGTGGAATTAATCACTGACCGGCCGACTATAGGATTATAGGAATCGCTGTTATCAGATTTCTTCCCTATAATGCACGATCATGGTCGTAGCTTAAACATAGAGAGGCCGTTCCATCTGAATATTGAAGCGCAAAGTGGGTCTATTTTACAGTGTACATACTTCTGGAAAAAAGAATATTGTAAAATATTTGGATCCTCTATTATCGGTTACCTATACTGAAATATGCTATCAGTGTTAAATCATGATTCCTATGTGATAGTACCTATCAAGTATCAATTATGTCGCGGTTGTTTCCATAGAGTAATAGGTAATACGGGTCCGTGTCGTAACGACGAAAGTTATGATGGAAAAATTCCCAAAAAATATATCTTTTTCTTTAAAAAAAAATATTACACCTAAGGTAATTCCTGTATTTCCAAAAACAGAGAAGGCAGTTCAGTTTATTGAACGCGTCGAAGAGAAATCGATTAAAGTGGCTGGAGCAGTAGAAAAGGTTGATCATGTTGATCAATTAATCATTGATATACCAAAATCAGTTCAAAAAGAAGAAGATACAAAAATAGTTAAAGTACCATTGATAATCAATCCTCAGGAAGGGATGGAGATATCTACGGCTAAAGACTATGAAACTATACCGATCGATAAATTTGGATTAGCTATGCTTCTAGCTACTAGCTATGCTATGTACATACTTAATCATTATAATATTTATATTTTATACTATAGGTGCCTTGTGTCTAAGCCTTACTATAAATATAAAATTAATAACTTCCATTGATTGAACAGTTATTATAGAATTATTAGAATTAGAATACATAATATTATGTATATATAGTATTTTACAATTTTACATTATATGAGTGATTAATGATTATTATCATTCAGCAGTATTTAAAAAAAATATAAGCGCGGTAATAAAAGAATATTGTTCTGTATGACTGTATGGTTAATAGTAGTTGAGTTTATAGTCACTACACACGCAAGCGCTAGTGTTTAAGTTTCCAGCTGTTTAATACTGATAAGTAGAGATTCATTTCGGTAGACACTTTTCTAGTATGTGGATCATGGGTCGATGGGCAACCATACTATCTTTAATCGTGGTCTAGGCACATGATATATCCGGACATGATAAGATACGATTATTAAATAATGATAACAAATCCAGACATGATAACAAAAACGTCAAAAACATGATTTTGCGTGTGCGCGCACTGAATGTCCGTGTCGTCTCCGTGAACGCATTATATTCACGTTATGATGGAAGAAGTTATGATGGATAAACAAAAAATATCTTTTTATTTTAAAAACAAAACAACAGCAATTAATTTAAATCCACAACAAAAGCCAGAGGAAGGTACTGTGGCGGAAGATTTAGTCATTAATTTTCCAAAACAAAAATCTCAGGAAGGGAAGGAGACAAACGCTGAAGACTATGAAACTATACCGATCGATAAATTTGGATTAGCTATGCTTCGAGGTATGGGTTGGAAACCTACTAAAGGTGTTGGTAAGAATTCTCAAATAACTTCTGCTATTCTGCCAAAGATTCGGCCCAAAAGATTGGGTTTGGGCGCTAAAAACACAAAGTTATAAAGAAAAACTATAAAAGATTTTTTGTTTAATTTACATTTTGTTATAAATTTTCCTATAAATAAAAAAATATTTAAAATAAAATTAGTATWGATTATTTGATTCAAAAAGGTTTTCACATAAGTGATTTTTCCCTAATTTAATTATATCATGCTGAAATCTGATGTCACATGAAATTTGGAACACCATGTATAACCTTTCTCACTCCGATCATACAGTTGATAGTTATTCACTTAACGCATATGGGTGGCTACAATTATTATTGTAGAGTCAACAACACATTTTGTTTCTGCAAAACTCACAGGCATAATAAACACTTATTGTTTCAGCCTAATCAACATAAATAAATTAATATAAAGATTATAAAATTTATGTATGTACACACCAATTAAATGTTCTTCTATTTTGTTCTACTGCTAAAAACAAAATACAATTGAATATTTTGACCGTACTGATGTTGTTTAGGTAGAACTGTATGGAACTATGTTTCTATTGCATAGTTCACACACACACACACACATGAAACGTCTCTTATCAGATCTGTAAGAAAAGAGATACGTTGTGGGATCCAGTCGAAATATYCACTTCTAGGAGCTTTGAAAAATATGTATTTTTAAAAATTAAAAAATGTACACAAGGCTATAAATAATTATAAATACTTTACACTAGGAAAAACTTTTTGTTCCAATATATCCTTATGTGTATAAGAAAATTTTAGCATTTTATTAGATCCATCTATGTGTTTTTAGGTTTACTAAGCATCTTGTGAGATCCAGACACTTGTTCTAATTCAAACCATCATACTTTGTGAGATCATTGCAACGTTGTCATATTGTTTGAATAATATTACTGGGTAACATTAATATAGAGAATATACTACTTACCAATAATATAGTGTTTACCTATTGTACGTTTAACCTAATATATGGGTATWATGATTGTGCGTTTCAATAACGCTGTGGGATCTCTCACAATACTTTCCTTTAGCAACTGATCCAATACATTATTGACATAAAGTTCTAATACTCTTAAAGTGTGTTTAGATATGGTCTTTATATCATAGTTATAATATGTTTATAGTTTCATACTAAGTACTATTGTTGGTTAATGTATTTATTCGTTATTAGTTATTACATAGACAATTTATACAAAAAGTATATCTTTAATTTATTTATAATGCTAATTACTCTTATCATTGAGGTATAATAATCAGTCACTATAGTGTCATAATATAGCATTAAAATAAGATTTCAATTACACCAATGAATCATTAAAAACCTATCAATACAAATTACTAGATATTAAAATATTCAAAACATTTTTTAAAATTAAATTTCTTAAATTTATTTTAACTTCTGGGATTAAACAATTTATTTCAACAAATTATAGTTTAAAACTATTAAAAAAATATACCTACTTATGTAAGATCATACAAAAGTTACATTATTTTTTCTCTAACAGTATTGATTATAATATAAGAATATAAAATTATTATAATCTTAAAATTTTACATACTAATAATAATTTGTAAGCAAGTTAAAATACAAAATATAAAATAGGAAAAAAATATTGAGAGCATACTTATTGTTTTCAAATTACAAACTTTTACAAACTGTTTTTTTTTATTATGTTGTGTACAAAAAATGTTTTGATTTTTTTACAATGCTTATCTTTTAACAAATGGTGCTTTTTCTTTAGATTTTCGCATTCTTGTTTTTGAGGTGCTTTTTTAATAAAATGCGTTTTTTTAAATAATCAGTTGTTATTTTACGTTCATCTTCAGTCCAAGCAACTCTAACATATTTTGGTTAAGAATTTTTAGAGTTTTTTGATTGAGTAAAACTTTCTTTATTTTTTGAAGTGGATATTTTTTGGTTGCTTTTCTCTTTTTTTCTTAAATATTTTACTAGTTTTTTTACTTGTAATCTCAAGATCTATATTCTGATTTTGTGATTCCTCCTCAGAAGAGACATCTTCATTTAATTCTTCATCTGAAACTAATGCTTCAACATTAATATCTATTTCATCTAAATTTTTTCCCCTAAATCCATGTCCTTGACCTTTTTCCATCATTAATAGCATTTTGCTAATCTTAGCAACCTGGAAAGTACTTTCTGACAAGCGGTAAAAATTTTTATGCACATCTTTAGTATGACCAAGGAAGTTTGTTAACTGTTCAATATCATTTTCAGTTAAATTTAATAACTGTGCTACTGTTGCAATTTGTTTACTCAACTTAGTAGAAGTTAGATTTTCTAGGTTTTTGGCTCCTGATTCTTTACCTAATTTACGTATAGCATCTGATCCTCTTAAAGAATTCATAGAATTAGGTAAAGCGAATAAAAAGGGATTTTCTTTATCAATAAAATTGCAAGTTTCTCTTATGGCAAGTAAAAACTTGATTGTTTTTTGCATGTTAATAGTAAATAAAATAGGTACACCACGGCTGCGTTTTCCCCTGATAACAATCCTTTTAAATTGTTTGGTCAATTATTTTTCTATTTCAGAAAGTGAAAAATCTACTTCTTGCGATATTTGAGAAGGAGCATAAATATGTCTGTAAAAAAATTCTTTGCACTTCTCCGGATCTTCTACGGTTCAATAAAATAAGCTGACTAAGTATGCTTTCTTGAAGTTCTCTGTATGCTTTGATATTATTTGTATTTTCTTTTAAGTCTTTTATACATTTATTCTGTACACTTATACTTGTTTATATTTTTTATGTTTATTATGATTAGACTTATGTTTTCTATGTGATGATTTGGAATGTTTGCTTTTTTTTGTTTTTTGGTGTCAAGATTGACGGTCACCGTAAAATATCTTCTTTAACTATTTACTTATGTAAAAAAAAAACTGAAAATCGATTAATATTCTGTATGCCTGCATATATGAAATCTCCTACACAATTAATGTGCTTAAAATTAACTAAATATTCATACATATATATTATAAATGTTACGGGCAAAAGTCAAAATTGGGCAAACCTCAGAAATGCCCAGTCAAAACGCGAACTGCCCACAATCCTTGGGCAAAATGTCATATTTCGACTTTTGACCGGGCAAACCTAGTTATGACCAACCTCATTTGGGAAAAACTGTTTTTGGCCCAATCAAAATACTTGAAAATTGAATACAATGTTCCTCATAATTTATTGTTATAATGATTAAAAATTATAAGAATACATAGACACAATTTTTTTTTATTAGCATTTATAGTTCAAATTTTTACAAAATCTGTYGAAAACACGAAAATTTGCAAGTAATTTTGAAGTTGAAAAATCATAAAAATTTTTGAGTATATAACTAAGAATTAAAAAAAATACAACACTAAGTATTCCATAAGTTGTCTTTCGAGTAGCTATAGAGAAAACTTGAAGCATCATTATAAGAAAATTTTTAAGTACGTTTGAATTTTAAACTTTTACAAAATAGCATAATGAAAACAATTCATCCTCAAACGATTTTAAATATTTGTTATTATTCAAAAAGTATAAGTCTTTTGATATTTGAACATTTTAACAGTTATTTAGATTGGCATTTTCTTTGCATAATTCAATTTTAAAAATATTTTGACTTTTTCGAGTTATTTACAGACAACTAAAATTTTCAATATTTCTGAAAAATTTTTTTTATGTATAAGATAAATTACAAATTGTTTCAAACATTCAACCACTTTATTAGAAAAAAAAAAAATACTTGAAGTATAAAACTGAAAAACTTTGCATGTGTAATGTCATCTAGGATTATTTTATTTTTTATACGTTTATTAGCCTGTCTTAACCAGGCTCCCAATGCATCCTTATATTCTTTGTCTGTTGTTTTCTGAAGAGCATATGAAACATCTAAAATCAAATTGAAAATTAGAAAATAATAATAAATAACAATATTAAATACATAAATATAAATAATAAATACATAATATAATGACTGATTTCCATACATTAATAAAATTAAACAATTTGGTAAAATATTTATTTTAGATAGAACTAAATTGTACCTACTATATTGTAAAAACATCTGTACCTACATTTTACTACTATATTATACATTTTCTGGGCTTTAGGCACTAATTACACACATTCAAATAAATAAATTATGCATTAAAATATCAGCTAATTCACCTCTTATGATATTGGATATTTTGTTATGTATGAACCCTTATTTTGTTCCTTTTCCCTCAACATTAAAATATGTAGCCACACTGTTCGTCATTATTGAGGCTAACCAGCGATTAATTGACTTTCCTTTGCTATTATCAGTAATACCAGTTTTTACTAAATAAAATTCCTAGAATCATGATTTAAACCATATATATCTTATAGTAGGTACTAGGTATATAGTTATAATTTAATTTAACAGAATATTTAGTGAGGGAAAGGGAATGTTGAAGAAAACTGCCATACAACAAGTTATCTAGTACCTATGGGAACTTCAGAAAAAATAAATAAAAAATAAATTACACATTACAATATGTTAAAATAACAAGTAAACCAATTATTTTAATAATTTAAAAAATCTAGATTTATTTRAACATATTATTTATGATTTTATTTATAATTTTATTTAATCCAGTATATTAATCCGAGGTAGGTACACGATATATCCGGACATGATAAGATACGATTATTAAATAATGATAACAAATCCAGACATGATAACAAAAACGTCAAAAACCCATAGATCTTATGCTATATTATAAGGTCTATGCAAAAACCATAGATAATATATACATGGATAGGACATCCCTATACTTAATACACACGGTATAATGTATAATGTGACCGAAGAGAATAATTTTGTAATTTATAAGATACATCTATTTCAGAAAATTTAGTTGTATTAACTTGATCAATACATATGCAAATACAATATATTTATACAAGAGTTAAAATCACTGAATTCAAACTTGTAGTATTTGTTTAATTTAAGTTGTTTACTTRATGGTTTCCCCTGTTCTCCATTCCAAAAAGCAACATTTTTATTCTCAGCTTCAGTGTTAGATTTAGTGACAGCAGTTTTATTTGACAAGTCAAGTTATGTTTTTGAATTTAATGTAAAACAAATTGTGTTTAGTATTTTATTATTTTAATAAACAGTAATTATGGTATTCACCATCATCCAATTTCGGAATATCAGGCAAATGGATCACATTTTTTTTTTCCTGGTGCCATATCTTCATCTGATGATTCAAATAACTTAGCAGCATGTAGTCTTCGCCGTTTTTTGGTTTGTTCAGTAGCTTCTAAATCTATTCTGCTGTTTTAAGTTTTTTTTTTAATAACTGAAAGTTATCTAGAATAATTTTTATTAGGTAAAACATATTTTTACATAAAATAAAGAAAACTAATTTACAGTGAAATTAGGTGAATTTTGTTTACCTTCACTTGCTATAATTTTAGTAATACTAAAAACCTCCCATTCTGGATCTGGATCATCCATTTTAAGAACAGATCGGTCATATTTGATACGGTCTGTGGCTTTATTAGGAAAATATGCATGAGTTTCATCTAGGAACCATGTTTTGGGATGATTTCAATACTACCATCTTCAAATTCAATAATAGATATTTACAAATCAGCCTGAAAGTAGACAGAATGTACAAATGTTACTTTTACTAACAYCTTCAACATTATTTTTATATTAAAACTCACTTAATATTTATTTGAGTATTGTTTGAGCAACAAGTATTATCGAGTGAAGACATAATTATTGYTGTCTATATAATGARAATTTGTATTTTATTAAACAAATATTATACATATTATACACATATTACTACTATTTAACTCATAAAAAATAGTCTTTTCTTTTATACATTATGAAGTAGTGAAAAAAGAATGTATTGGTTGGTATTCTG